AATAAAGTGTTTGTAGTTTTCTTCCAAGTATTTTGTGCTGTCTGCTTTTATTTGCTCTTTATGCAAACTAAGAACTGCCAAGAAGTCAATCATTTCACAAACCTTCTCTATAAACAGATTTGTTTAAAAGAAAAAACAGATTGCAATGAATACCCACTGTAGTCACCTTTCCTCTTCATCTTTATTGGGTTTCTATATGAATACACATACACTGAACACATCAGTATCCAGTTACAGTGCTGACTTCACCTTCTAATCCATTTTCTCCATTGACAGGACTATGCTTACAATTTACAAAACTTCTTAGTAGACATTTACTTATTTCACAGTTCATTAACTTCCAAACAGCACACCTGCCAGTTTGCAGGTGTGTTATCTAAAGCAATGACACACTAAATAACAAAGTGCTAAGTGTGGTTGTGTCAGAATTTTGTATGAAATGAATGTTTTTCTCCACTGAGTTACATAGATGAAATTAATATATTTGCATCAATTTCTGGAAGTTTTTTTCCTGATGGTAAGAGCAACAGTTAAGTACCAGTCACTGCAAATACGCACAACTACAGTCTCAAACTGTACTGTCTAACACTTTTTAAAGTATACAAATGGTAGTGCCTCATTTTTTAAATCATCAAAAAGGATCATTCATGCATTTTAAGCTCTTTCCTGCTGCAGTAACAGCACAAGGCTTCATTTAAAAATTAACTTCAATAGCAAGGAAAATCTCAGCGAGTTTAATATTCTTCCTTTTAGCAATTCTTTATGGAGCACAAGGACATTTATGGTGTTCTGTAGCTGGAGTAGCCTGACCATGGCTCATTTACATCTGATCTCAAGGTTTTCATATCATTAATAAAGAAATAATCAAAACTAAGGCTATGTACATTAGGGTAGGAAAAGTTTGCATAGTTTGGCAGTACTATCATATATACCCTTACAAATGGAACAAAATAAAATGCATGCAGCAGAGGTGGTTAACCTTCTAAGGACTGATTCCAAGCATTTTTCTATTTACTGGCAATAAAACATTTTCAGACCTCCCAACACTGGCCACCATGATAGTTATTGCTTTATAGGTTTCTATCTTTTTGTTTCAGCTGTCAATAAAAATTTCAAACGATAGCTTTTTAAGTCAAATAGGCCTATCTAAAAAAAATTTTTAAAAAACCCACCATAATACTGCCATCACTAAGACAAAAGAAGCACCACACAAAAAGCACATTGTGTTTAGATCTGGACTTAGCTGGTTTTAAACTTTCTCATATCATGTGACAAAGTATCCAAAATCTGATCCAGTTACCATTGCTTGAAAGTTATTAACTATACTCAAAAAAGAGTCTGCATGTCCACTTAGTTCACTACTTTAAGGCAGTAATATTTTCTGAGCTAATTTTCCCAAGACATCCTGAAAATTCCAGACTTGAAATTATACACAAAATAATGTATTCTACTGAATAACACACACAGATAGAAATCACCATCGATAAAACTAGTGAACTTCTAGGGACACTTGAACTACAAGAAACTTCAATGAATACTAACAGATTACTTCTAAGCCCCATGCCCTACTAGATCTGGCTTGTGAGACCCACAGAGGGAGCTGGAGAAGTATGATGTACAATCAGGGAACTCAAGTAGAACTGGTCATTGTACCGTAGGGGTCAATAGTGCATCCAGTCTGATTCAACATCTTCATTAATGATCTGGATGATGGGTCAGTGTGTACCTTGGTAAGTTTGCTGTGATGGCACAAGACTGGGAGGAGTGGCGAATACACCAGAGGGTGATGCTGCCATTCAGAAGGACCTCAAACAGCTGGAGAAATGGGCTGGCAGGAGTCTCATGCAGTTTAAGGAAAAGTCCTGCAACTAGGGAGAACAACTCCATGCACCTGTATCCACTGGGGTCCAACCAGTTGGAAAGTAGCTTTGTAGGAAGGGACCTCTTGGTTCTGGTGGACATCACGCAACAACAGCAATGTGCCCTTGTGGCAAATAGAGGCAATGCCCTAGGCTGCATTAGCGGGGGTGTTGCCAGCAGGTTGAGGGAGGTGATCCTTCCCTTCTTTATTAAAGAACTAGAGCATCTTTCATATGACAAAAGCCTGAGAGAGCTAGGACTGTTTAGTCTAGAGAAGGGAGGGGTCTTATCACTGTGTATAAATATCAGCAGGGATGCTGTAAAGAAGATGGAGTTTGCTCTTCAGTAGTGCCCAGTAACAGGACAAAAGGTAGTGGGCACAAACAGGAGGTTCCCTCTGAACATCAGAAAGCATGACTGGTGACCAACACTGACACATGTTGCCCAGATTGGTTCTGAAGTCTCCATCCTTGGAGATATTAAAATATCTGGAAATAGTCCTGGACAACCAGCTCTAGGCCATCCTGCTTGAGTAGAAAGGCTGGACTAGATGACCTCCAGAGACTCCTTCCAACCTCAACTATTTTGTGATACTATAAATTGCATCCTGTTTCATCATATGCAGCTGCTGTCTCCAAAACCTGAAGATAACCTGCCGAATACCATTATTCATAATCATAAAAGGCCTGTTATGAAACAACTGAGATTCTGTTGAGGATTTATTTTATTACAGGATTTACTAAGCTGATTTAGTTATGGCAAGGTGATTACACAGTAATCCGATTTAGACAAGAAGTTGACACTGCAACTACCAGTATCTTTTTCAGCTCAGGATTAGAACTGACCTTTGATGGTTACTTTCACCTCCAGAAAGCAGCCCTTCAAGGCAGCTTACGAGCATGTTTTAGGACAGCATAAAATTCTACAGTGATAATGAACAACAACTATCCATTCTGCAAAGAAGCAATGCAGACATGTAGGAAGAAAGCAGTGTGGTTTAATGCAGGCCAAAATGTTATTAAGTTTACTCATCTGGGAACAACCAACAATAGCTTGTACAGTAAAAAATTCCTTCCATAATGATTTCCACCTGCTGGAGGGCTGCCATTCACCCTGCATCTCCCTGCAGCTGCTTTTCCATCTGCTGCTGGAAGCCACTGCCCTCCTTTAGATAAGATCTGAGGCCTGGAGATAGTTTCTATAAGCAAATAAAATATTTTACCTATTCCTGGTTGCAGAGAACAAGACCTGCTACATCTAGAATCACTGCTGGATTGCTACCACAGCATATTCAGGAGATATAATCATTCCCTCTACTTCCCCAGAGTTCTGCAAACTAAAGATTAAGTGGAAATGTAAAAGGTCCTTTTGAAAGACAGGATATTTCTGAGTCCTGAAGACAAATATTGCTGAGTTATATGCGGCATCATTTTGAACTTTCCTGTGTTGCTGCATCATATTTAGTTTGTACAGGATGTAATAGGAGAATGCAGCCTGAAGGCACAAATTTCTTAATTAAAACATACCATGAAGTATGCAATGAAACAAACAAAAAAGTACTCCATTCTTATTGCCCCCATATTGGCCCACCGGTCAGTCAAAATATATGAAGAGTAAATAAGCAGAAATAAGAGAAAAAAGGAGACATTTCCATCCCCAATAAGAAAAAGTGCAAGCAGCACAAAGAGCCTGCTTCCAACCATCTCATGACTAACACTAGGAACTTCGGCTCTAAAAACCCCTCAAACTTACAGCATCCAATGAGTGGTCTACAGTCAATCATTTTTATTGAGCTGTCTTCTTGTTGCTTATGTGAAGGGTGTGTTCTTTCTGTTTTTGTCTAAATATTATCAAGAAACAAGGACTTTGGCCAACAAAGGAGTAGACAAAGCAATTTACAAATTCAGCTGCTATCCAGCTTTTGTGCTTCTCAGAGCTCCACCACATTTATCCAGAATACCCACAGTTTAACAGACTTTGCATAATCAGTCTGGAAGTTGAAACATAATAGTTTGTGAAAAAGAGACATTCTGGCAACCATTTTTAACCAGAAAAACTCCCTAGCATACAGCAGGGTGGTAAGGAATGTGCCAAAACCCTGAGGGTCTTAAAAAAAATGTAACAATAGAACATAATTAGAACATGCAAGTCAGCCTTGAAGAATCTTATTTTCTTTCCTGTAAAATTGTTTGGACACAGAGATCTGTCACTTCTTTTCATTATTGTTAAGAGAAATCAAGTAGTGCTCTCACAGCAACTCATGAAAAATCCTGTATTTGGTTAAATTAGTGTATTTCTTTTGACCAGCAGAAAGCTGCTGTAAGACTCTGTAAACAAGACTGGGTAGCTTAGTAGTTTAAAGAGGATTCGAAGTCTAGCCAAAAGAGGAAAAACTATGTTCAAACTAACCACATATCTTGTGTGAGTCTCAGTTTCATTTAACTTCAGAAACTGCTCTTCATTTCTAACCCCTGAATATCTAATCAATATTGTGTACTTCAAGACTATGAAGTTTTTTAAAACCCCAGGAAACAAACTAATGGACTGTATGCTCTCAAATGTGACAACCATCTCAATCTTATATTCCACTACCAGTATTTTTATGATCTGACTTTTTAGATACATTCATAGGTAATGCACTGATGTGTTTTAAAGACTGAAATTATTTATCTCTTGAAATAAATTTTGGTTGTACTTGAAACAATAATGACAAATTAATATCATGCACGCTTCAACAGATCCTTTCAAAATATATCAGTAGTTTCACTTTTCAGAACAGAAATATACAGCAGAAAAGAAGCATCAAGCCATAGCAACCAAAAGGAAAACTCAGTCAATGAATAGATGAACAAGCAAGATCACAATAATCAAGTCATTAAAGGCCCAGTTGCCCCATTGAAGCCAATGAGAATCAGGAACAAATGGAGTTTTTTAAATGTGATCATAGGTGTGTCTAAAAAAATTCTCAGTGATCTGGTGTAATACCAAAAATATATACCAAATATATTGCCATTTAAAGGATTTTAAATGATTTCCCTATTCTTTAAAAAATTCCCTTCTACTTGCAACAAACACATCACCCTGACACATGCTATTAACTAAATATTTCTATTAGGTTTTATAATTAGAAGATACAATACCTCTGTCTGAAGTATGGCAGCTCTCTGTTCTTTGGCAGTAAGTGACTCTTTAAGCACTTCAATGTGTTGCTTGCAATCTGAATTCTGATTGCTAAGGGTTTCAAGCTTAGTTTGTAAGGCAAGAAGTTCAGATTCTTTCTTTGAGAGTTCTTGTTTCAGTTGGTCAATCTGTAACGGGGGGAAAAGGGTTAGATCAATAATTTCATTTCCAATTCATAGTTGCACTTAAAAGCTTAAAGATGTAAATGACTATGATATAATACAATTTAGACAGCTGTTAATTCTGGTAGACAATTAAGATTTTGACTTTTTACACTCACAATTTCAACTGAGGTTCTGGTAAATTAACATACCCTATTTTAAGAATGATGGTCCTGTTCTTGCAGAAGTTAAAAGGAAACTCTTAAAAGATTACACACGATGATTTGGCCTATAAATTCACTATGGACCTCACTCAAGTTCAAAGGAATTTATCCTGTGTGAGGCAAGTCTGGCAGGACAGAAAAAATGCATAGGAAAATAAGTGTTCATAAAAGTACGAATTCAATCCAATAGCCTATTCCTTCCAAAAGCATGAGTCTTATGACTTACCACTGGCCAGAGTGAAGCAAGGCCTTTTAGGAGCCTGATAAGGAAAGCAGGCATCTTAATAAGAAGAGGAAAACAGAAGAGGGGAATTTTAACCTTACTCTTCTTGCAAGTATGTTGTTACCCACCATCTCCAACTCCTTTTTTCCCCTCTCTGGCAGTTCATATGGAATTCTCAGGTACTAAGAAAGCCAAGCCAATTACCTTTAAAGAAGTCTGGGGAAAATGTTATAAAAATCCACAGAGTGAAAGGTCTGTGAGATTGTAAAAGCATACCCTAGGGGAAACAGCAGAAACCCAGTCACTACAAAGGAGCTTCTGAATTACAGTGAATTTAAGGTTCATCAGTAAACGTCATAGAACTGTGATTTTTCTTCCCTTTCCTCAGGAGAGGAGGGGTAGCTACAGAACACAGAAGTGTGTTGGATGCAGAATTCATTAATCTAAAGAAAGCACTGGACAACACACAGAATGATACTAAAGGATGGTGAATTAAGTGACATACAACTCTGTCTTAAAGTCCAGTGAAACAACACTGTGCACCAGCTGAGTTCAGACATATCTCATGAGAAGAATTTAAAATAAAACATCTCCATGCACCTGCGTAAGTCAGAGAAAACACACTTCCTTTTTATTTAGAAAGTTTTCTTGATGACAGTAAGGCCTGGACATTTTTCTTCAAAATTTAAGTTTCAATTCTGCAACAACCAGATAAGTGCTTGGAAAAGCTCTTTCCATTCTCTCCCATCAGCTCCATCCCAACAGACATTAATTAATTTTTTAAAAACGGTTCTTCCAATTAAAATCCACATGTACATACATCTTAATATATGTGTTCCTTATTTCTTTTCAGTGTTTGTCTAGATGATTGATAGTTGGCAAGCTACCCCTGAGCTACTGTTTAAAATCAAGAATCTATACTGGCACTAAAAGCAATCACATTCACAGTTTGAAAGAATCAAAATAAAAGAAGGCCCACGCAGAAAACAGATGTCAAGAAAATGTAAAGAGTACAGTTAAGAAACTGCTAGAGAAGCCTCATTTGAAAGAAACAACCTTCCTCCATCCCTTTCCAGAATGTGTAGGCAAGAATGGCAACCAAGACAAAAATATACATACTGGACAATGACAAAATCTGCCTACAAGATACAAAAGGTAGATCTGCAGCCAATATTCATTGCATCACATGCTTTATACAAAACCCATGAGAACATCACAGATGCTTAATCTCTCCTAGAAACTCCTCCCACTTTTTTCCATGACACACAACTCACCCTGAGAAATAATCAACACAAACACAGAAAAAAATCTTAATTTTCATCACAATTATGTTCTTTGTGTTTCAGAAACAGAATCTGGTTACTATAAAAGTTCTCACTACAAAATCTACAAATTGCCAGAAGAATAAATTTGTGTTGGAGCTCTCAATGGATTCAATGATATCTCCTGAGCTCAGTACAAAAGAAAAAAAAAAAATAATACAAAGGCAAACATTTTTTTGTACTTCATAAAGACTGCAATGAAGATTACTACAATTAAGGGTGTAAGTGCTGTAGCATCTAAAGAACTTCAAATTTGTCCTCTGATTGTGACCTTCCCACAATCACACATTTCATTTGTGTAATTTGCCTGTCACTGCTTTTGCAACATTACCCAGTATGATCTTGCTTCACCTCCTTTCCTGAAACCCTAGTTCTTTTATCTTCCTTCTCAATTTATGATTCTCTGTCACATCCCATTATTTCAGTTCGTTATATACTAGCATTTCCAGAAAGCCATTATCCCTTTTCTTACATTTTTTTTTCACACCCAAATCTTACATGGCATTACATAGAGTAACTGGGAAACAAAGAAAACAAAGCAAAAAATCAGAGCTTTTCCCCTGCATATGAAATATTAAAATTAACAGGCTAAATCTTTAAGTAAATAATTCCATTAAATGAAACTATGCTGATTTATGCATCATAAGACTCTGGTCGTTTGTGACAAATGACAACTGCTTTTAAAGTGAAAGATTTAAGTAAAGGAAAACAGTAGCTATGCAAATGAACTGAGTGGTTGCATGCAGTAGACTCTTACAAAGTCTATTTGTAGATTCTACAGGTTATATTGGTCAAGGTCTATTTATAAAATGTTTATCACATTTCCAGGCCTATCCACAAAAATAAAACCTGCTATAGGTTTTCTTCCCTGCATATTTTTGCTACAAGCTCTTGTAGAACATACAATCCATGACAAAAGGTCTTGCACGCAAACATTAGAGAGCCTTGTTACCATTCCAACAATTTTAAAACTCAACAGTAATTTGCTGAAGTTGTACTGAACTATAACTAGATTTTCATACTCATTCCTGTTGACAGCATGAGAGTTCTGGTATTCAAAGAACTACTTAGTTTCCAAAGTGCAAACTCACACCTGAAAAAAATGCACAAGTGTTCCTTAAAATATCTTGCTGCTAGCCAAAGGACAAACCCCTAGGATGCAAAGGAAGTCTTGCAAAGCAGAAATCATTTTTTTTTAAATGCATATAATCCTTTGCGTTTGCTTCATATCCTTAATGAAGATATTTGAAGCTACATATCCCTTAGTCATGAAAATTTTAAGACATGTTTTCACAATTTCTGTGTCATGTGAGTGATAGCAATTTTTGCCTCTTCAAAATCAGAGCTAGGAGAGTCCTCACCAAGTGTGTAAGAAGAGAATAATCTAAGCAAGTTTTCTCTCTCATTTCTACAACTTTTATTTAACTGCAAGTCAAAATTAAAGCCTATATGTTTGGAAGGAGTTAATGTTACTAAGAATTAAGTTAAGAAAAGGAACATTTCCCAGCATTCTCCGCCACTCACATAAATAATTTTTAGCATTAGCCTCCATTTAGCACTTTCTCATTTAACTCAAGAACAGACTAAAAACAAGTTCTATTTAAAAATTAAATGTGAAATATTAAGAGCTTTATAACACTTAAGATTGCTAACTGTGAGAAGAGTTTTGTTCTGCTCTTTGCCATCAATCAAGACTTCTGTTTATCAGAATTTATCAACAATCTCAGGTCCAGCAGATCACATATAATAAGATCTGTCTGCTGACAGCTACATAAATACTTTTCCACCTTGAAAGGTTCTCAGATGAATGATAAAAATAGTATCTTCTGCTGCAAATCTCAATTTTAAGTGGAAAAAAGGACTGGTGAAAGAAAACAGGCAAAGTTTCATCAGAATGTGGCATTCATCAAAGATCAGAAGACTGTGACAAAACAAGGCATGTTTCATAGTCTTCTCATTCGTCTGCTTTCTATGCCACAGGGATATATTGAAGCTTTTCCTCACGAAAAACATCATAAGATTGTTAATACCATACTAGGCTTTGTACATTTACTGTTAAATCAACAGATTTGCCGAGATGTATTAGGAGTTTTGTTTTACATTTCTAAAGCTGAATTGCTTTTAAAGTAATTATGTTTAAATAGGCAAAATAATTTTCTTGATGACAATGCTACTTAGGAAATCTAGCTACTTTTCAGTTGCTTAAAAGATACTTCTTCCAATATAGTAATTTTATTATTTTTTTTTAATAAATACATATTAATTCCATATGGGTATTAACACTTTTATTTCTTCTGTAGCATAAACCCCCAAGGAGAAGATAAAAATTTTCCAAGACACCAGTATTTCCTGTGATGTAGTTTAAAGGATGCTAGAAGTTTCCAGACTGGGAGACACTAACAGCTCTTCTGAGATGAAAAAAATAAATTAAAAAAAATTGAAAAAAATCAATGTCCTATTTATACATGAAAACTGAAAATCAGGGAATGCAGATTCTCCAGAAGGTCCTGAAACAGTTTCATTCTTTGACCATAGACAAACTACATACTTCCTCTGAATCTGAGCTTGCCCAAATTGAAAAGGGTGGCAATAGTATTTATCTACCTGATATTGCAACTGTTGTCGTTAAACAGCAACATTGCTAAGTATGTTCAGCATCAACAGAAAATGGCAGGCAAAGAGCTACACGTTAATCCAATTAACTCCTACTTTTCTTGCTCACATGGCCTCTAGAGAGGTAATTTTACCAGCTCCTCCTCAGGCAGTTTTGTAAGAGCTGCAAGTACACAGTTTTGGAAAAAGTAAATCAATCCATCTCAATTCCCTAAAATTTCACATATACAATTTTCACAAATACAAAAAACCTTAAATATTGAAAACTAATTAGGATGGAAAGACTTTTAAAATAAAGTAAGAATTTCTAATAATCATGACTACTAAAGTTGTTTACCTAGGTTTTATTCTGGCACTATGGTAAAATTTGTTAACATCACTGCAAGAGATGACATGGGTGGCTTTCCCTTCCAGTGTTTTGAGTTCAGGATGCTGTGACTTGTTTTACTTCATCTTAATTTTGCTTAAAAATAATATTTTTAAATGCAACTGAAAAAAAAAAAATAAATTATTTCTATGAAAATGGAAGTACCAGCTTCAGCCTCCGTAATTTTAAACTTTTTTTCTTTTTATGAAGTACTTTAGTTCATTATTTTATGACTTCATAAACAAAACACATTCAAGGTAGAGAGCTGGGAATAAATCAGCACAAAGTGTAACATTATATATATTTATTACAATTTTTAAGGCAATTATAAAAAATACCAGAAAAGAAATATCGGAACTCACAAGAAAGACTATTTGGAGTACTCATTCCAAAACAGTAGCTGAGCACATCAAAATGAAAAAAAGATAAAAAGACTAGCTGGTACAACAATTCAGACATCAAGCTTTACTTCTGACATTTTTTTTAAATGAAGAAGGAATACTCTTTTGTGAGATTGATACTAGGAAATGTCTTAAATCACTACACATGTACTATCAGCTTATGGGTCAACTCATAATTATCTATGTACAATAATTAAAAATGAAAGGTACTCTGCAGGAACAAAGTCACCAAATCATCATCTTCAAAATACTAGAAAATTATAATTTAGTGTCATTTATGGAAACACAGTCCCTACTGCAAATCCATCAAAACCAGAAAAAAAAAAATAAAAAAAAAAATAAATGCACAATTAAAGTTGTGCCAACATGGTGCAAGTCAAAATTATGAACTAATTCAAAAAGCCAACATTAAAACACCATACAAAAGAAAGGGAAAAGGGAACACAGTGAAGACTCAGGATTGTAGTAGCCTCTGCAGAAGTGGTGAAATAGCCCCTTGCTTATCTCTTCCTTAATCAAAACAAACACCTTTTATTTTCACTCCTCTGTAGCTACAGAGTATCACACACTGGAGATTTACCAACAAAAGATGTGCAGACAGCTGCTTGTCTTGAAAAGGGTCAAGTTAAGTTTTGTTTCCATTATTAAACAGCATTAAGTTATTTTATTATTAGACCTTACCTTATTTTTCATGAACTTTGAGTGACTCTTGTAAACTTCTATTTGTTTGATTTCTTCTTCTCGGTCCTCTGTATTCAGAACTCCATTTGTCTTCAACATCTGTATTTCATCTTCAAGATCTCTTATATTGCGCTCAAGTGAAGCTATTTTTGTATCCTAAGTTATGGAAAAAAAGTATTGAAAATTATATGAAACTTGTAAATTAATACATAACAAAATTACAGCTGTACTTACATGATCAAAATAATAAGATAGCAAAAATAGATGGTACAAATACAGATTGCACATAATGTCATAAACCACAAGTAATTCTGTAGATTTGAACTTAAAGAAATGCAGAACACAGAACTGTTTCACACCCAGAAAACAACGTGCAATACTACATTTTGCTGCATATTCTGTAGAGGAAATGTTCTGGTCAAAAGTCCATCTTCATTCCTACACAGTTAGGGATGAATGGAGAATGGAAGATCCCCTATTTCTGATACATACATGATAACCTATCTTGTTTGCTTGGCTAGCCATCTAGGCCAAGTTTTTCTTCCAAGCTCTTAAACACAAAGTTCAGCCTAGGGAGGTGAGTCCACCATAGCTGCAGGATGACAGGCCACTTCATTACCTGACAGCCTGAGGCTGTTTCCCTATTTCCAGAGTCTGTTGCTTGCTTCCTTGACAGGAAGAACAAAGGTTGTCTCCTCACATACTTTTCCTTCACTAATTCAGTCACATCACTAAGATGGGATGATTGAGCACTTTTTATTATGAGTCCCAAAATAAACAAAAACACAACCATTAAGAATTTCTACATCACAGACAATGGTTGCCACATCTGCCAGCACAGACCTCAAAGACCCAGTGATTTTTTTTCTTGGTGCCAGTCATAATCTCTTCAGTGAAAGTTAGAAAGATTAAAAAATTATTTGGACAAACTTCTCACATAATTTTCTATTTAAAGGAACATTGCTAAATAACTCATTAGGAAATCTACTTTAGGCCCACTTGGGAGGCATTTGTTAAGAAACAGAAAACATTGTGATTCAGATGGTCAGACAATCAGCTCAAGAACATGAAGGAGCAACAACCCATTAAAAATCAGAGATTGGGGTGAAGTTTTTGTTCCAGTGAGGTCAATGAAAAAAAAAAAAAAAAAGTCAGGATATTAAACTAGAATGCTAATGTGGGAGAAAATACAAATTGAATTTATATTTTAACCAAGACAAGCTAAGCTTGAATCACTCTGCTAAACTACAACTGTTTCTTTTTTTTCCAAATTAGTTTTATTTTCCTGATTCCTAGATGTACACCAATGCTTGCTCTAGGCTACCTAAAAGTAACCAAAACCAGAACTCGTCCAATTACTTCTTTCATAATACAACCAGGCAAATTTAGTAACTTAAGACACAGGATCTTTCAAAGTTCCAAAAAGCATCTGAACTTTCAGTATAAAGCAAAAATGAAACTCAAATTCTTTTTGAGATTTAGTATCCACTGTTACAAATCCATATGGAATCAAAGCTATGTAAGGACTAAACAATGTAATTTTATCTTTATATTAAAAAATGAGTCTCAGATTGAGAGAAATTTTGTTTTGTTATCTTATTTGATACATTAAACTAATAGAGGTTTTTGAATGAGAAAGATTTTAACTATTTCATTTGCAGTATAAAAGCTGTTCATAACAGGTAAAAGTGTTCAAGCTGAAATTCTGGATGTTTGCCAAGATATAATAGGCTAAGTATTCATAATACAATTTAAGTTTTCTTTTTTCCTTACAATTTTCACTCCCAGATGAATTATACTTAAAAATAAAATGATAACATGATTTAATTTACAGTAACTGTGGTCTTTCAAGATGTTTCTCTCGAAAGCTAATGCCCTTTCACCAAACATGCCGGAGTGCATACAGATACTTTTGCCCAGAGTATCTGGGCAGAGCATCTTGGAATAATTTTGTGCCTTCAAGTAAGGACATAGAGAATGTGTCTTCTCAGCCAATCCTGTCCCTGTCTAGGACAACACATCTCAAAAAACAGCATTTACTGTAGTTAATAATACTATTCTTTTGTAAAGTAAATAAAAACTCATTTTTCCACATCTTTTTCTGTTATTAGTGAGTCATAAACAGTAATTCACACTACAGGAGTCATGTGAGAGGACTCTACCAGAGCAGTGCACTGTGGATCCTATTTTAAGAGTTTTTTAGTCTGTTTGAATACAGACAAGAGCTCAGTAATTTTAAAGATGCAAAACGTTTCAATAAGAAATCTTGAAACAAAAGAATTTACAATAGAAGTTGAACAGAGCCACCTTCTGTGACCGTAGACATAGTTCAATGCCATACAGGTAGAGAACACATTTTGAAGAGGAATACCAAAAACTTTCATGCATCTTACAAGTTTCCAAATTAACTCCATCCCCTTTCAGAAAAGATGCTCCAAGACAAAAGTAAAAAAAAGTCAGAATGCAAAGGAAACAATCCTTGGAACCTGAACTTTGCTGCTTCTTATCTTTTACCTCACAAGGTTTTGGTTTGTTCTGAAAAATATCTGACACTGAAAATGCTGATGAGTATCTTAATCAGCAGTGCATATTTTCCTTTCCTGAAGGGTACATCCAAAGAGAAAGAGTATTCCAGAAATCAATTTAGAAACAGAAAGGCACTAACTAGAGATGCAGCTTATTAAAAAATAAAACAAATAAATAAATAAACCAAGCAACACCCCCACAACAAACAAACTACCCCATTCTGGAAGACTTCCAACCAGGTTTTAGGTTATATGCTTATGGCTAATATAATGATGGAGATGGATGTTTTTAATAATAGCTTTTCAAGTTAAAGGTAAAATGCAATTTAAAGCAGTATGTCAGCCTAACCTTATTATCATGACATTTCAATAGCAGAATCCTAAACATTTTATTAATATTTGTCCATGGAATCAGATTGACTCATACCATAGACTAAATTGTGTATTTATGGTAATAAAACCCCTAATATTTCTATTAAATAACAAGCCCATTCCCATGACAGAAAATAAACATTTTTGAGATGTTAACAGTTCTGTTCACAAAACATTTTCCATATTTTTTTTTTAAAAAGGAAGAAGGTAAAATTAAAAGTTTGGATGGAATGAAAAAAGAAAGGGGAAGAAGTCTCACTAAATCCTATCATTCAGTGAAATTGCATGAAAAGGAAATAAATGAAAGAAAAGGGAAAAAAGAATCTTAAAAGCTAACAGGCCTTATGCACAACAATGAATTATTGTAGCTCTCACAGATGCCACAGTCAAATCAGCTTGCTCAGTCAGGTTTCATTTTAGAAATTTTCTGCTCCTATTATTGAAGATAAAAGCAAAACCTAAGCTTCACTGCACTTTAGAATGATTTTGCACTGAAATGTATTAATACTTACATGACCTGTTGTGACATCTCATCTGGGAGTAGTCCCCATATAGTCTCTCCAGCCAAGTGTTTAAGAGTCTGGCTTTTTATAGTACAGTTGTATTTTACATGTTTGCAAATACAACATGGCAGAAATAGTTTATAACACTGACTGTTACACTCTTTAGAAGGTTTATAAATCACAGAACAACATTTAAACTTTACGAGAAATATTTAACATAACTTTTGGAAGCATTTTTTGTACTTGCACTTTATGACAATGAGTTTGAACTCACCAAGCTTATATTCAATTAATCTCTGCAAGTTGTGATTACAGCTTTGCAAAAATTAGTTTTTCTGCCTCTAGAAAAATTAGCACCTGTCAAATTTGTATTAGATTTTCTTGGAACAGCAGTCAGAAATTTCACAAATTTTGAAGACTAAAATCTGCTTCAGAATAATTTATCAAAAAACATCAGTAATGATGAGACAGAAGATAAGCCAGACTTCACCTGCTTTTACAGGCTGTTCAAGGAATCAAACATGCTGTTCTGTTAATGTATGTACAATACAGGACTGGCAGTTCTGCAAATACACCAGAAAGGCTGCTGGTCAACTGCTAGAAAGTGAGGAATCCTGTTGGTTAAAGACAATACAGACAGTCTGGAGCTCCCAATGGGTGCTGCCACCAGCGAGTTGGGATGAATTACAGGATGGATAGAAGTTAGATAGCTTTGTTTTCACTAAAATTTTTTTACAGAATAGACACATTCCCATAAATTCTTCCAATTCAGTTGAATCAGCGTTTCCCCACAGAAAACTTCAAATGGAAAACTTTCAGCCAGCTCTTGTTGTGGCACAGGGTCTGGCAATCTTTCCAAAACTGAAATAGGAACAGATGCAGTATTTCCTTCGAGCCTCTAAGACTTATCCACATTAGCAGCATTCTAACAAACTGCATAGGTCTGTGTTGAATCACAAAGAAGATTCCTTTGCAGTAATATTAAGAAAGCAGCTTAGTATTAACTGGTACTAATAAACATCATCCGAGTTCTACAACAATGCAACATTTGTGCCGACTTCTCCAGTCAGGCCCTTTAAATCTCTTAAAAGATTATATAGCAGGATTTGTGATACAGATCAGGGTACTCACCCTAATCTATCTCCTCCTTCCAGCAGGAATCAATACTTCTTCCTCATCTCCTTTATTAAAATATTGTAGCAGATATTCTGTGAGAGGTTAGGGCTATTTCTATGCTGAACCTAGCAAAAATCTATCTCTTCTGAAACATGAGAAAATTAGTGTTTCCTGACACTCAAGAAAATAATATTCCACAATGGAAGACTAAGTTTACAAATGAGTTTCCACAATAATGTTTAATGAATCTTATATATCCATTCCTTACAATAAGAGTGCTATAACACATTTCCTAAACAATATTTGTAAATAGCACAGCATTCCAGTCTGTTTTACTCAGAAATGAAAAGTAATGAAATCCTGCTCTTCATAATTTCAAATATCTGATAAATTTAAACCATGTTTGCGAAAATCTTGCTTGTAGAACATTTAACAAGCAATCAGAAGCAAATATTTGAAACTTCACATTTAATTAAACTTGCATTTAAATGCAACTATGAACACAAGAAATCGACAGACCATACATGACAACTCTTACTATATACTTTATCAATTTAATACAGAGAATGTTGAAGTTTCTTTCTGAAGGCAAGGAAAGGTGAAAGTTCATGCAATCTTAACACTAGGAGTATATTGCACTGCAAACACACATACACGATTTTGTAGAACCAAACCCATACCTGAAATATCAAAGCTGGATCAATATACAAAGATGGCTCTTTCTGTAAGTATGGTAAACCAAAAATATTTTCATTTACTTTACAGCTTTCCATTTTTAAGGATTTTTATATTCATGTTGCTAGACTATATATGTTACAGAATAGTCACTACCCTACACTTCGAATTAGCATTATGCCATATCTGTAGGCAGCTGGTTCTGATTTTCTCTCAAGTGATACCACTAGTTTAAGCCCAGAACAGTCAGAAAAAGAACACAGAATCATAGAATAGTTTGGGTTGAAAGTGACCTTTCAAGATCATCTAGTATGACCCTCCTGCCAAGGGCAGGGACATCTTTCACTAGATCAGGTTGCTCCAAGCCCCAACCAATCTGGCCGTGAACACTTCCAGGGATGGCACATCCACAACTTCCCTGGGCAACTGGTTCCAATTTCTCACCACCCTCATTGTAAACAATTTCTCCCTTATGTCCAATCTAAATCGACACCCTTTCAGCTTAAACCCATTGCTCCTTTTCCTATAACTACAGCTCCTGGTAAAAAGTATTCCTCTGTCTTTCTTATAAGCCCTCTCTCTATACTGAAAAGACTAAATAAAGTCTCCCCTAAGCATTTTCTTCTCCAGGCTGAACAACCTCAGCTCTCAGCCTTTCTTCCCAGGAAAGATATTCCAGCCCTCTGAGCATTTTCATGGCCCTCCTCTGGATCCACCCCAGCAGATCCATGTCCTTCCTGTACTGATGATCCCATCATACAGTACAAGAGGTGAGCAAATTTTGACCCGATTCATGTGCTCAGGATTATTTCTGTTGAAATAATGAAATAATGTAAAGTGCATTTCCTTCTGTTCTTTTTTATTGCATCTATCAGTGTTAATCAGCTTTGGATGTCGCTGATATTAAAAATTATCAGTGATCTGGCACTTGTCAGATCACAACACACAAAGTGTGCATGGGTCCAACATTTCAATGTACCAGGTGGGTTTTTTTGTTGTGTTTTTTTTGTGTTTGTTGGGTTTTTTAAACTGGCTTCCTGTATAATATAAATTAAATTACATGAATGCTGTTAAATATACAGACCGTATTTTCATGTGCATTTGTTATGTCCAGTTTTCATGCACTGCAATTTGCAATATGCTTCTTTACATTATGGAGAGGACTTCTTCATGTTGGTTTTTTTTTAATTAAGGTATCTTGAGTAGGCATCTAGAGACTGTAATCTCTTTGCTCTCTAATCTCCTATTTGTTAAACTACACAAAATTAAACTCCTAAAGTAATTTGTTGTTTGGTAATATTTTAAAACATTTTGGTGGCTCTTCTCTGAATGCCATGAGTTCCATGATGTAACTCACTGTTTTGGGCAGATGTGCACTTGAAAACTTCTACCCTTTACTAAATCCAGGATACAGACAGCATATCTAGTATTCCCCACTTTCTAGAGAATGGCTCTCAGAAAACCATTGTGGAAGGCTGGGAGAACAAAACAAAGCAAAACAAATCTGTTGAAAGCAACATCTCAATGTGATGAAGCAAGTTTTTAAAAACAGAAATTTGAGGAAATAACAGAAACTATGTGGGAAAAGGAAGCATCCTGCCCTCCCCCTGTCTTGTGATTCCACTTTCTGGAAGAAAGAAGGGCTACTGGAGAAAAAGGTCTGCTGCAGAAAAGGGAACAGAGAGTAAAGACTGTAAAGGAAAAGAATAAGAAAAAGATGGTGCATTTGGAAGCAAAGGTGTCTAGGAAGCAAAACCAGAAAGTCAGGAAAGAAAGGCCTGCATGACGCATCTGGAAAGACAAGAGATATCTGAAAAGTAATAAAGTAATAGCAACAGGAGTCAAGATACAGGATGTGAATTTTCCTTTTTTTTTAATAAGTATACAGAAGATAGAGATTGGTCAAGGAGTCAACAGTTGCGCAGAACATAAAAATGCTAAAGAGAAGGCAATATTTGCAAAGTTTTCAGACAGAAACAAAGAGCGTGTCAGGACAGGAAAGGTAGAGCAGAATAAAAGCTGTTTAGGGCAAGAAAACCCACATATAAAATGACAGGCAGAATAAATGGGTATACTTCCTTGGATTAAAGGAAAGGCTGACTGTAAAGGGCGACAAAGCATCCAGCAATGTCAAGGGACAGAGGAAAACCACAGGAAATAATAGAGGGATTTACAAAGGAGGGAAAGCTACCTCCTGGTAGAGCCTTAGGGAGCAAGGGTGGGGACTCAAACAAAAGCTAATGTGGCAAGGGGGTGGAAGGAGCTGGGTGCAGTAAAAAGAAATGTACACTGCTTTGGAGCCTCAGAATGGGGGAGTGTTTGGCCTCAGACTGCCATATTAGAGTGCAATCTTCTCCCTCCTACCCTCAGCACTGCAGGGAAATTACTGCTTCAATGCTGGATCATTCAAAACAAATGTTCTTTTTTACTTTTTTTCCAAAACAAATGCTGTCTGGATTAAAACAATTTAAATTTACTTGAAAACATTCCAAAGCTGGAACCTGGAATGAAAACTGCTGTTTAATCATCTGGATTTCAATATCTTACGTTTGCCCCTTTTTTCTTTTCAGTTTTAGGGATACTTCAGACTTGGCGGAGCTTGTGTTCATAAGAATAGAAAGCAGCAAAAGGCAGCTTTGCATCAGAAAGCTCCAGCAGGATGATGATCACAGCCTCGCCCATGACAAATGAAAGCCCTCACTGAGCATTTTTTAAAAAGTAGAAAACTGTACCACTACCAACTCTCCTGGGAGACAAAGAGAGAAGACGGTTTAACAGTCCTCAGGGACAGACACTGTCAGAGTAGGTGCAACTACAGTCATCACGTGTCATGCAAGTGTCAAGCACCCATAACCTCCATTTTTTTTGAAAGAGTTTTGGTACAGAAAAAGGAATTGCAAATTATTTAGCAACATAACCCTTTCATTGTTAATAACCCACATGGAAGACAATAAATTATTCCAATACACTATCTCTGTATCCCAAAACTTTCACATTCATAGTTCTGAATATTAATAGTATGAAACAAGTTCTCAGCCAGTAATCATCCTACTTTCCTGTAGACGGGGTAACAAGTTACATCGAAAACCATAGAATCATAGAATTTAATCTTTAGATTTCATACATTGGAATAAACTAGAATAAACAAGGAAGGTCAAAGGCAAATGCACAACAGAGGATGGAATGCTGACACTAATGTACCTTTTTGCTACTCAGGTAATCCAAACTAATTATTATCTATTAAAAGGCAAATACTGTATTTATGAAGTCCTGCTGTTGTGTGTATTTACCACAAAGTTCAGACATGCTGAACTCATTTGCTCATAATAGAAGTCACTGGCAAAATGGGGTCTTTAATTTGTGCTTCCTTTTCAGACTGAAATGAAAGCCCATCATTAATGTATTTCAGGCAGCATTGCCAACTCACAAATTACCTCAAGTTTCGCGGTATTTTTCTTAAATATGTATATTCTAGACTCACAGAATTATGCAAAAATATCAGTTTTCACTTTTTTAATTATTATTTTTATCTTCTATTATTTTTGGGGAAAAAGCCACAACACTTCAGTAATAATATAAAATATGAGGAAACTATATTCAGGACTAAGACAAGAGTTTCATAACATTTTGTCATATCATTACATTAAATGATGCTGTGAATATTTTCCTTAGGTTAGATGTAAAATGATGGCAAATAATCACTAGCAGAAATATTGTTTTTAAATATCAATAATAAAAATATTTTACATCAGCCTTGGAGAGTTTGTGCTTGCTTCTGTTTGTCAGTATATTCCATCTACTTCAGCTCACCTAAAACTTTTTTTCCCCTCCAAGTTTTTTTAAAGTAATATTTGGTTCTCACTATTAAGCAATGCTGCACTTTTTTAATCAAGTCTTGTTGAGACAACAGAACTAGGAGAAAGAAATACTAATTATTCTTAGCTTCACAGCAAAGTAAGTTGAGAAATATAAGGAAGCATTTAATGATGTCACAGTAAAAGTTATAAATCAAGGTGTTGTGGGTTAACCATGGAAGACACGTGTCACAGCAGCTCACTCCCTCCCCTTTACTAGGATGGGGGAGGAAATCGAAAGTACAAAAGTGAGAAAACTCATGGATTGAGTTAAATTCAGTTCAATAGGTAAAGCAAAGCTGTGCAAGAAAGGGAAGTAAATAATGGAATTCATTCACTGCTTTGCATAGGCAGGCAAATCCTTAGCTATTTCAAGGAAAGCAGAGCTTCACCACGCATAACAGTGACTTGGAAAGACACATGCCATGACTCTGAATGTTTTCCCCTCAGTTTCATTGCTGAGCATGACATTCTATGGTACAGAATATCTTTTTGGTTAATTCAGGTCAGCTGACCCAGCTGCATTCCCTTCCAGCCTCTTCTCCACCCCCAACCTCTTTGCTGTGGGGGGAGCAGAGTAGAAAACCGAGAAAGCTTTGACTCTGTGTAAGCACTATCCAGCAACAGCTGAATTGCCAGTTTGGGTCCCAAATTTAAAACAGCACCATACAGGCTGCTATGAGGAAAACTAACAGCATCCCGGCCAGATTCAGTACTTGAGTTCATGCAAAAATAATACATGGGAAAACATGCAAAGACTATACCTTCATTTCAATAACTGTTTGAAGAGCCTTCATCTTTGCTGGCTCCGGCTGAAGTTGGGTTCTTCTATGTAATTCCTGTGGAGGAACACGATAGAAATAAGCCTGACGACTCATCTTTTATTATTTTAATCACTCATATGAATTTATTAGAGCAAAATGAAAGCCTGATTATTAGAAGCATGTAACTCCAAATGCTACAGGTGCTTCCCTCTCTCTAATCCCTCTAGCATCACTGCAGTCCCTATCTTATATTACAGGCAACTCTGACAGCACATGCGCTATTTCTGAACCCCCTGTCAATAATTAATGTCAATGGTGACAAAGCCAGCAAGGAATTACTTAATCTAAATACAATGCTGCTGTTTCTGCCTAAACATCAAAACTTAATTAATTCAGTTGTGCTACTAATTCGAACACTGTTAAGTAATTTAAAAATCTTTTACTGTCATTTCTTCTCAGCTATTCCTCTAACAACTGAAATTAGCAATTTAAAGACATATTTAAATTTGACATTTTAAGGATAATAATCATATAGTGCGTTGATGCAGTGGCCTCTACAGTAGCAATTACATTTTGGTTTTCACATTTTCACACTATTTTTTTAATGCACCTGTGCCCACAGGTAAAAGAAAAATAGGTTGCATTAGTTAAGACATACAGGTAACAGAATTAATGTCTACTGGTCTTCACCAAAAAAAAAAAAAAAGAAAGAAAGAAAAAAGATGGCAGCACTCAGTCCCTTATAAAATGCAGGAACTGTATTTCAGGATGAGATATCTTAATAAAAACTCGCTTATCTATGTAGAACAGTGTAAAGCTGTAATGAAACATTATCATTTACAAATTTGATGGTGCTTACACCATTGCTACAAATAGTCTGAGCAATTTATTAGAAAACAAAACTTCTTTAGAGTCCTTCCCCTCTCAAGGACTGGATTGCCATGGTAGATGCCTTTCTCTCCATTCTTTTGACCCCAGTACCCCACGCAGACATTTGAACCAATTTTACAACTATGAAAAATACACTTATGCCTGCTAGGCAGAGAAGCTAGGTTCATTCACCACAAAAACATTAACTGACTTTAGAACCCAAGCTATTGTGTCTTCCAAATTATGCCTCTACCAGCTGAACATCATAAATTTGGGAGCAGGGCCACAAAAAACATAATACTGTGGATCCTGATTATCTTTACTTCCATCTCTCAAATCCCCTTCTCTTGAGTGAAGCAAACAATGTACAACAATGACAATCAATTGATAGACTAACAGTCAAAAAGATGATTAATTATGGATTATGCATATTTATTATCCTGCCTGCACTCAGCCTACCCTAGCACATTTCTGGGTCTTGCTTTCCCAAATAACGCACCAGCTCAAAAGTCATAATTTTTTTTATCATGAGTTACCAATCAGGTCCTTTTTGTATTTAACAACAAACATATTGATATAAACGACTTTGAGAAACAATCACTGTTTGAAGACTGTAGTAGGAGTGATTTGGCAAATGCTGTTAAATTAAAATCTGTCAAAAAAAACATTTTTCAAAACATTTTTAAAATTGCGAGGTCTAATATATTAAAATAACTGAAAGATACAAGTTAGTCATGGGTGCTGCATTTAACTAAACATAGATTATTTGAAGCGTAGTAAACAAGAAGATGTAATAACAAGACACCCATCACAAAACTCTCAGGTTTGGCATGCATTTTTGGGTAAAAAGAAGATGTCCATAAGTAACAGAAAAATTTATGCATACAGAAATAGATAAGCACTTATGATTTGTAGTCTTACCATGAAGTAGCCAAGTTATGGTCAAATGGCTAGTAAATTAAAACCCTTTAGGTCACACCAGCTTGATCCCATTTTTCAGAGTCCTGTGTTTTTCATTATCTTAGCCACAAATGTCTGGGGACATGGGCAGTTTCTCATTCCCTGTTTGTACCATAGCTAACAATGATAATTTAGTCAATGACTGAAGCTCTTAGGAACTCAGGCAACAGAGAAAAGAAAGAGTTGGATATATTCTGCCTTGCCTATTCTATTTTGCCCACTGTGCTGTTTCCATAGAAGGGATGCACAGAAACATAACTTAGATAAACTGTTAAATTAAGAGTCTGATTTAACATAGCCCATTCACGTCTTGATAAACCACAGCACTGCCTGCATAAGTCAGATTAGGTACATGCACTTGAATGCATACATAAGGCTCAGTAGGTCTGCATGTTTTTTTATTACATTAAGTATGTTAGAAAGATTTACGTATATTTAAACTACCTCTAACATATGACAACAGTAAATTTCTAATTTTGCACTAGACATGAAAAAGTGCATCTGAATGGTCCTTTTTCCTTGGTTTTTTTTTTTATTTACAATTCTCTGCATTATAAAAAGAAAGAAATCTTTGCAAAACAGGAATCTCTCAATCACCACCAGCTGTTTGTCTCAGATGAAACAATTACCTTCACCACACAAACATTTTTAAAAATAAGAGTATGTCATAGATTTGTCATATAGTTCTCCCACAAAGTCATGGAAAAATCATTGGCCAGTTATACCACTATCTGATCAGCAAAAATTACGGCTAATTCTAAGACCAGACTTTGCTCCCCAAGGCCACATAAACTGAGTTGGAGTATAAACAGGATTCCACACATTGCCCAGGGAGACAAACCAGAGTTTCCACCCCCTTAGTCAAAGATGAATAGACTGCCAAAGATGAGTATTCCTAGATGTCTATCATAGCATGAAGCCTTGCCCCATAATACTTTTCCTGTTTGCTTTATGAATCAATCTGATTCTGGCTGACTTAAAAGCTTTTCTTTTCTATCCATGATGGTAAAATGAAGCAGACTTTACGATTCTGGAGAAGATCAGAAAATTACTCCCACTTTATTATTTTGTGTGGTTTTTCTTCCAATCAGATTCAAATGTTTGGAGACTCTCACAGGGCTCAGTTCTTGAATTTATATTGTTCCATGTATGCATTTTTTTCATTTGGGGTATCTGATTCAGGGACATACCTTTGCGGTACTGATTCAAAGACACTACCAGTTTGTGTGCATTATTATTTTGCTATCTGAAGTCTTCTAGAGGGTGTCAAATTTGCCTGAACAGCTAACCAAGAGATATTCTGAACATTTCATGAGGTCCTTATAGCCTAAGGAAAGCAGATTTTTATCCATTATATCATTTTTGGAACAATGTTGCTATATCTTTTTGATTTCATGTAATAAAAGGCCCATGGAGTCTAATAAAACCCTTTTTAAAAAACAAGCAAACAAAACAAAAAAACAAGCAACAAAACACCAAACATCACTGGTAGATTCTTTTAACCTGAACCGTATTGAATGAAATTCTTGATACTGATATAAATAATAAAGTACTTGTGCCATCATCTGTTCAGCCATACTAATAATTTCTCAGAGATTTACTTTCACTGAAATCACACTTCCATTTACATAAAACTGCATAAAATAGCATGACACAAAGTGGTAGAAAGAAAAAGACTTTCAGAAAAATGGGCAATGTAGAGGTGGTATCACGAAACTGTCAGTAACTGATTGCATTTCAACTGCTAAGCTTCTACAGATGAAAGAACAGAAGGAAAACCAGTATTGTAAACCAGAAAATTATAAAAAATTAAACACAACATTCAAGATTTATAAACAATAAAGACATAATAGGAACAAAGATATGAGAATCACGTAACCATTGGAAAAAGAAAGAGGGATTATCAAAGATGGCAGAAACTATACCTAAGGCAATGTAAAAACAGGCATGAGAAACCATCATGTCAGTAAATCTAGCCTCTTGTATTCCTAGGTAAAATGTACAAATCCGTAAATCACAGCAGGCAACAGTATAGGAGCTGCTAGTTCTCTCAAACACCTCAAAGCAGACTGCTTCCATTCTCCTGCAAAAGAAAGTCTTAGAATTGCTTCTACATGATCAGCTTGTCTGAATTTGAAAATTTAAATCAGCAGTATATCAATAATTCGAACAATAATTTCAGTAAAAGCACAGCCACTCACCTGAAGTGTCTAAACAGTAGTGTTACTTCGGCCAAAAATACCATTAGAGAAACTAGTCAAATTCTGTTTAAATAGAATACTATGAAAACGTAGTGTATAGGAATGTTTTTATTCTTAACATATTAGCTTATCTTCTCTTTGTTTTCTAACGCTTCACATCAATCCCTCAGCCTAAATGATATCACAGTCATTTGGATGAAAGTATTTTTCAAGAAATCCTGATTGAACTCTTTATCTTTCTGGAAACCATAAGCTGACAAGACTGAAAATGTTCATGTCTGGCTCCAGAGTGTAGGAAAAAAAACCCTTATTGGGCAGGATTCCAGAAATCACATTGTTATTGGTCATCTTTTAAAAACCCACTACCACAGCTATTTGAACCCTGTGAGAACCTGTTAAAGAAATTTTGTCAAATCCCAATGAATTTTATAGTTTGAAGAAATGAAAATGGGGACACAAGCATATGAAATGAAAAATCATGGGAAGCTATAAAGTTGATAACTATAGGAGTTCTGTACTCAAGGAAGTTTCTTTGTACTTGAGTTGTATTTAAATTTACTAAGTTCTCAGAGGAAAGCAATATACTGAGATGCATGCCTAATTCTCTCAGCATTTTCAAATAAGCAGACAAATATGAGTTTTGATGAATACAGAATATAGGACTAAATGGCATGAAAAAGGCACCAACAAACACGTATAAAAAAAGGCAATTGTCCAGTACCCCAGACAAGTCTAACAATAATCACAGTGGCCTCAGCAGTACCCTTGAACCATGATTCTGACACTCATTCTGGCCATTGTTAGAAAACTTGGGGGTGTGAATAAAGACAGGAGGGAGGAAGGAGGAGGTTTTGCACCAGAATAAAAACTCTATATGGAATCTCTAGCCAAAATATTTTTTTAAAATTATCATATCTCCATCTACTCCTGAATTCATACATAAAAAAAGGGTTTATATTTCACCAATACGCCTAAAGACAGACTCTAAGGAAAAATATACCAAGCATTAAGAAACTCAGCATCTCCTTGACTTGTATGTCAGAA